TATACGCAAATGGCTACCATATTCAAAAATATGCTATTTTTGTATGAAAATTATGGGTTTTGTATTTTATTTTAATAGAAGTTGATGTTGCTTTTGCAATTATCCAACAATTTTTTAAAATTAATCACTATCTACAGATTTGCATCGAAGCGTTTCTTATGATAGTGATTTTAATCACTGTCAGATTAAATCTAGACTGAACCCAACTATGCAATGTCTCCACTATGCCGCGACCCCACTGTGCTACCGTTTTATTTTTTTAAATCTATCCCATTACCTGCCTACAAGGGGTTATTCAAAATGATAACTTTTCCACAAAAAATTAATTTAGAAAAAACAAATTTTACCTCTGGACTAGTTTTCATTGTGAAAATGACTACTGTCATATTCAAAAGTATGCTATAAATATTCAACATTTTATAATATATAAATATTCAAAAAAAATGTTGATATTATATTTTAAATTTTCTAACTTTATGTTACTATAACTTTTTAAAAAATGTTTGAATCAATACAATTTTTTTTTTTAATTAATACTATCTTCCTCGTCTTAATCCCAACTACTTGGGGTCGACCAATGTTGTCCCCGCATACATCCGAGATGGGATATTTCGCCTAAGTTCTGTTCAGGACACCTTATACTATTTGACAAAAAATTTTACGAAGGCTACCGACTGACGCAACCTCATTTTTAATTTATACTATATATGTACTTATTTCATTCAACATACATTTTTTTTAAACTGCCATTTTCCTTTATACAGGGGTAATTAAAACTTTATACACACCAATAGAAAGTAGACCTTCAATTTAATTTTTGAAAATGCTCGGAAAATACTGACATTTATACATATCTTAAATTAAAGTTTATGTAGTATACTTTAATATGAAAAAAAATTTTTCGAACTTAATGTTGTCTTCATGATATGAGAATAGCTATTCAAAAATTTGCTATTTTTATGTTAAAATTCTCGGTATTTTATTTTAAAATACATTACAAGATGAGTACAATGGTTTTCATAAATATTATATAAATCTAATTAACATAGCATAAAAAGTTATTTAAAATTTTTTAAGTCGAGAAAAATAAATTTGAAATTTGAACTAGCTTGAAATGCTATTTTTATCTACCTAACAAATGTTACGTATAGTTGACGAGTCGGTAACACTTGTCTTTGAACAATACAGGAAAATCTGGAAGTACTTGATAGTACCTAGACAATCTAAAATGTGNAAGTACTTGGTAGTACCTAGACAATCTAAAATGTTTATCAAGACCCCTGGTTTATTGCTGGGTGATCTTAATAGCATGACTAGACATCAAATAAGCACCCTGACTGGTCTACTGACAGGACATGGTCACCTGCTTAAACATCTTAACGCAATGGGGGTATCGGAATCACCATTGTGCAGGAAGTGTGGAGTAGAAGAGGAAGACTCATTTCACATCATGTGCGAATGTGAAGCCTTGTCCACACTAAGATCAAACTACTTGAATAAACCTTTTCCTGAAAAAGAAGATATTAAAAACCTAAAACCCAGAGAGATACTTAATTTCGCCAGAAAGACAGGACTCTTTGGTCATCTTTAGAGGTGACTTTATGGTTGGTAATGTATTAACACTTTGGTGATAACACTTAGGTGGGTAAACCGAATCAAGACAATTCAGTATGAGGTGCGCACAATGAACCAACAGGTCTGAGTGCATGGGCATTATGTCCACCTTAATAATAACTAAAACACTTGTCTTTAACGCTTGAGGTACGAAGCTTAAACCCCAAGTGGGAATGAATTTCTTGGCATTTTTTTCCTAAAACTTTGTGAGTTAGAAAAAAAATTGTTAACTCATTTGATTTTTATATCATTTAATTTTAAATTTAATAACTTCAATAAATATCAAAGACTAACTCTGTAGTCTCTCTTCGTAAGAAAAAATGTCTTATTCATATTAAAATTATTTTGGTATGTGGTTTATTTTCGTCGCTGTCATTTATTTTCTCAACTGTCACTTGACCAATTTTTTTTAATGATATGTCAAATAATCACAACTAGTATCTAGTTAAAAGTATTACCCTCAAAAATTGAAGAAAAAAATCCCCTTTATCAAATAAAAAGTTGCTTAACCAGATTTCTACATACAAACAATTAAAATCATTCATTTCTAATATTTTTAAAGTATTTATTGTCGAATAAGGTTTGATATGATAATGGTTTAAACTAAAAAATTAAATAATTTTTCTTTGTAATTTATTCATTTTTTAACTCTAATTGTGTGTGTTACTACCAGTCTATAATATTCCAATTTTTTTGATTAATATGTTGCTATATAAATCATTGCTAAAAATAATGATTTTTTAATCACCGGTGCCAAATTCTAAAGCACGAGCAATGAATGTTCTATACCTAAAACATATCAACAATAAAATTATGGATGCTTTAAAACAATTAGTATATATAATAGATAGTCAATCCAAAATTATACTTGCAAGGTGACTCAAATCTAACAAAGTATACAGAATAATTCATTTATCACAACCCACTCAATGACTTATAAAATAAAAATAATCTCAATAATAATTTTCTTACAAAATTCATTATTAAAATTCTGTATACCGGCAAAATGTAATATTTAACTAGGTGATATCATCATTAAGTGATATAACCTCACTTTTCATTCCACTTAGACTTAAAAACATTTATAATTTCTAAAAATTATGGTTCAAAAGTTGTTATTAACCTATCATTTCCCTAATTAAATCATTGCTTATATTATAAGTATGAATACAATGTTGGAAAATTCTTCTTCTAAAATACATACAAAAATTTATTTTGATAAGCACTTGAGTTGCATGTGTAAATAATAAGTCTTGAATTATAAAACTTAAATTTTCTAAGAAAAATAAATTAAACAACTATAATCACAACTAGAATACAATTTTTCTAAAAGCTTTCATTTTTAAATTTTACCCTAAAATTACTTTCTGGTACGTTTCTAGTGACAAATTAAAATGAAGATGGTCTTTCTGAAAATATTTCAACGTTACAATAATTGTTTACTTTGATAAAAAATATCATGTATACTTAACGCAATGATGTATAAATTTATTTGAATAGAAGGAGTGTGACTATTATTCATATATACAGTGATTACATAAAAACTAATTTAATGCAGATAATAATGATATATTTTTCTTTTTAACAAAGACTTCTAGATTATTTGTAAACTTTTTAAAATTGAATACTTAAGTGCTTATTTCATTGGAAATCATTTAATTTTTTTGCTGTTACGAAATTTTTTTCCTTAATCCTATAATTCCAAGTTCTATTATTGTTAGGAGTTCATATTATATATTTTTGTCTGCAAAAAAAAAAAAATTATGCATGAAGCAAGGAATTGTATTTTTTTATTTAAGAATGGTAGCTTAATTTACCCACTAATAAAAAAATATATTCAAAAGTAATAAGAGTAATAGATAAACAATTTGAAAAAAAATGTTTTGAAAGATCTAACTTAATTTTTTCCTCTAAAAAATTATTTATATAAATTTAAATGTAATTTAGAAAAACAAAATGTTGGATGAGAATTTAATGGGCTAAATCTCCTTTACGCTTATGAATAGAAGTATACAAATTTAATGATTATATATTATTCAACTCTTTAACAATTTATGTAAGGATATAAAATTGTTAATGAAACGACAATCAAGTAGTATAATTTATTGATGTTTAAATTAGTTCTCTACATGAGAAGACGCCCATTAAATAAAATAATAACAGTGACAATAATAATAGAGAAACAAACAAAAATTTTATGTTTTCATCAGGCGATAATAATATTATCATTATAACTATAAACATGTTAGCACGACTACAACGTGATACAAACGTAGGTTCAGCAGAGGTCTGATGTCGGGATATTCCAAGGTAGTCAGCTATTATAATATTACTATTTTTATTTCTTTTATATTGTATAAGAATGTATTCTGTGTAATATCACATTATGGATAGACGCAATTGGTTTTGGCGGGCCATTTTCACTAACGATGGTGTTCGACCGCGTGTTTTTGAATCTTTGCCGTTGACCACATTGTTGTTGCGTCGTCGGTGCTGGTCACTTGCTGTTCGTTCGTTTAATCTCTACTCTAATACGCCAGTCTTTATTATCGTTATTTCAGTTAAATAAAATTAAATAATTTTATACGTTTTGTTTTCGACGTTTAATAACGATATTGTTGACGGTGTTTATTAGACTATATTTATTGAAGTTCAGTACGTCTTAGAAAAATATAATACAGTAATTTTATTTGTCGGAATTTAAATTTTCATTAGTATATTAAAACATTCATTCAACGTTGTTGAGTTTTTAATTTTTTTGTGCTAAAATTCTGTAGTGACTTAGTGACATTTATACGCACATTTTGGATTAAAGCGACTTAAGGTAAATGTCTTAATGTTGCATTTTATTATTATAATTACCATAGGTTAAAAAAAGTGTACAAATATCTACCATAGTAGTCATATTTATTGCTTGATTCAGGGTCGGTAACCTAAGAGTATTGTCCTAAGCATTCAGTTTAATTTTTTTTTCCCATTTTTTCATAAAATTTTTTCAGGTCGTAGGTCACGCAACGGGATGGCATTTGTTATATTCTTATAAACATTGAACTTAAAATATTCTTAAAACACATTTTCCTTTATAAAGGTATGTTAAAAACAATTTTTTTAGGAAAATTAATGTTATTTTTAATGATTCACCCAATAAAAAGTGCTGAGAAAATGGTAATTTACCCCGTGGTCCATAGGGTAAAAGCGAGACTTATTAAAACTTCTTCTAAAGCTCTCTGAAATTAATAATTATAAGAGTTTTCTGGTAAATAAAGTAAAAAAGTATACAATTTTTGATAAAAATGACCGATTTTGTAGTGTTTTGTCTAAACACGGAATACTCGCATTATTCTAAATTAATTTAAATTTAAGCTTGTTTAGTATGTGATATATGATTCAAAAATTTAAATGTCTGGTTTCCGATACTCTATGAGTAATTTCCTGTTAAGTAAAAAATCATGTAATTATTAGTAAATTTTTTAATTTTTTTAATTTGATTCAAAAGACATCGAAGGGTTTTACGTCAGGGATTTTAATCTTTGTCCAGATACCAATCAATATTAAACTAAAAAAATGCATCAACTTCAATACGCTGTATTTCGACTGTATTTATAAACTATAGTTAACGCATATTAAACACATATTTTAGATTTTGAAAAAAAATCTGTTATTTGTTTTGAATCCATTTTTATTAATAAAAATATTTCTTTTTATACAGTGTGTATCTCTACGTAATACATTTCAAAAATAAGTGATAACATTAACGGGACTACTGTGCGGGCGTCAAATTTTGCTCTACAAGACTACTATATCGACTAACATTTCATAAACCCATGTTATTATCCATAACCAAAAAATAATATTATAATATTATAATGATATTATACATTATTACATTTTAATAATATAATTGTAAAACATAAAATGTTTACATGACTCTCTTAAATATGTGCCCCTGTGCCCCCACTCCCTCTAAATATGCTATTGCGTGTTAACATTATAATTGACTGCTAACTTTGCTTACGATTAACGTTATTTAAAATAAATATTTTTCCAGTATTATCTCTTAACAATTAAATTATTTTTAGTGTAACTTAGTCGAATTCATAGGCGTAGATAGTTAAACGAAATTGGGAGTAAATTTACCCCCAATTTCCACTCACATTAAAATTACTTTTATATAACCATAAATTTAATTTTCAAAATGTTTATAGCAACCGCCTTATTGCGTCTATTATTGGATCTGTTTAAGAGAACAGGATGTAAAATTTAAAATGAAGTTTAATCAAGATTTTAAAATGATTATCTCGCTTCAGTTAGAAGACAAATGGTTTTTATTTTTTGTTAGGGTCCATTAAAATATTTTCAAATCTTATTATTAGATATAATATGTACCTTCAATAGTAAAGATATTATTAATGAACTTTTAAAATGATTGGTACAATTAAATTATATTATAATTATATTCAAAGATAAATGAAACCTCTATTATTGTGTTTGCTTGTGTTGATTAGCTGATGAAGCTAACTTCCTAAATTTGAACGTGTTTACGATATAACTTAAAGTTAACTAGTATGACATATAATAATAACAATTATAATTATAATTATTATTATAAAAAAGGGAATAGGCCAATTATAGAAGAAAAATATATATAAAAGATTATTATGTTATAACTAAATTAACTACATGAAGTAATATGAAAAATAAATTAAAACCAACTACATAAATAATAAATTAAAAATATTACATATCAATAAGATCAAAACTGATGACAATAAAACATGTTTCTAAAACATTATTACGATAAAAAGAGAGGATCGCTATTTGATTTTCGTGAGACAGATTAATTTGACTGAAGAAAACTTTAGGTTAAAATAGATTTACAAAAAAGAATGAATGAATGAGTGGGGGTCGAGTAGGGACATTAAAATATTAATTGTATATTATCCTAAAAGCCCATATTAATTTATTAAAAAAAATTAAAATTGTTTTTACATTAAATGATACAGGCTCAAGGAAAAGAAAAACAAAGACAATTCTACCCTAGATTTCGATTTGAAGATAAAAAAAGAAAAACGGAACATCATTATAAGTGTAAATTAAAATTGGTAGTTTTTTAGTATTTATTTACAAAGATCTCTGCTATCCACAGAAAGTTACAATTTTGAACAGTAATTTTAATATTAAAAATTGTTTTATAAAATAAGCTAAATGTAAAATCTTCATTTGGGATGTAGCCGGGTTGCATTTTAAGGGGTTTAGGGGATACTCGATCCTTTTCACTTTTTGAAATTCACTTGAAGTCCCATTTTTACTGAAAATGGTATTTCTAAAGAAAATATTTACAATAAAAATATATTCCTCAGTCCTGCGCCTTCCAAAAAAAATTTTTAAATAACGTGTAGAGTTGTGTATGATATAATTTACTAAACATTAAATTTCAAGCCTAATGGTAATAAAATACAGATGAAACAGATTTAACTGACAACTCTTATTAACTTTGATACAATTAGCATTTCACTGTGATATTTTAAAAATAATTCATTTTTTCTTATATTACATTCTCTTAACTATTGAAGGTGTGTTATTGCAACGACATATTACTGATGATTTTACTTTACTGAAGAACTAATTCTTAGGTGCGTGGGTAAAAAACCTTCAAGCTAAAATGTAGTATTAAAAAAACTTGTTAACTTTGTAAATAGAAAAAAATAATAACAATGTTTCCTTAAAAGAAAATTAGAATTTATTGGTTACGATATATTGGTAGTGTTTAAAAATTATAGAACTTCTAAAGTATTTTTTTTTCAATATTTTAATTTTTTTTTAATATTTTTTTTTATTGTGAAATTTTTAATTTATCAAACTAGAATCTGAATTCTAGTTTGATAGTTTTTAGTTTTAGCTTCGATGCGAAGCTGAGAAGGTATTAATTTTACTATGATGTGTTTTTTTATTTTTTTTATGTCTGTTGCCACTTTTTCTCAGCTCTCACTGGACCGATTTCTTTCAAAAATACGTCAAAAGATCACAAATCGTATCTAGTTGAAGACATTACCCTTAAAAATTGAAAAAAATTCCCTCGTTCCCCGCAAATGGGGGAAATATCCAAAAAAATTACAAATTTAAAAATCGCTAATTTTCGAAATTTTTTCACTTTTTTTTCTTAAAACTTCCATAACTTTTTGAAAAATCAACAAATCAACATAATTTTTTTTTATACTAAAACCTTAGATATTTACCTTTCATTTGATATCATTTTTTTGAAAATCTATCACTTAACCTGCTCATTGGGGGGGATTTAAAATGGCAACTTTTTTACAAAAATTAATTTTTTCAACTTAATTTTTGAAAATGTTCCGGAAAGACTGCGTCCTTTAAACATATATCAAATTAAAGCTTATTTTATGTACTACAAAATGAAAAAAAAAAATTTGTCCCGACACTTTTTTTTCTACATTTAAACGGCTGCCGTAGTTAAAAAAACACTATTTTTGTGTTAAAATTTTCGATTTTCGATTTTAAATTTTCAACTTAAAAATGCTATAACTTTTTGAAAAATGTATATATCAGCACAAATTTTTTTTTTCTAAATACATTATAAGTACATCTTTCATTTGACATACTTTTTATTAAAATTGGACAATTTCCCCTTATATAGGGGGCGTTCAAAACTTAAAATATTGTAAAAAACATAGATCTTTTTCAACTGAACTTTTGAAAATGTTCCGGAAATACTGCGTCCTTTAAACATATATAAAATTAAAGCTTATGTCATGTACTATAAAATTAAAAAAAAAATTTATCCCGACGACCTATCTTCTATGCGCAAATGGCTACCGTATTCAAAAATATGTTATTTTTCTATTAAAATTCTAGGTTTTGTATTTTATTTTAAAATATCTTATTAGGAGAATATATTGACTTTTATGAATATTATATAATTTAATTGACATAGAATAAAGGTCATAAGACATAAGAAATTAAACTTATTAAATTTTTTTTACTTTTTTATTTTCATACTAAATTTAATAATTATAATTAGTATTTATTCATATATTATATTTTAAAATCAAAGAACTACTAATTAGAATATAATCAAAGAAATAAGAGTTGATGTTGCTTTTGGAATAATCCACCAATTTCTTTAAATGAAACACTACCTACAGATTTGCATCGAAGCATTTCTTATGATAGTGATTTTAATCACTGTCAAATATCATCTTGTCTACACTGAGCCTCGACCCCACTGTGCTACCGTTTTTTTAATAATTTTATTTTTTAATAATTAAAAATCACATGAAAATCGATAATGTTTATTTAAATAATTTTTTCAACAATAAATTTACTTACGAAAAATAAGAGATAAATTATCCATTTTCTTTTTTAAGCTTCTTTATACGTAAAAATATTGAACAACATTTGAAATTTCTGATTATTGATTGATACAAATTAAAGTTTGTAATATATTTTAGTGAAAAAGTGACACAGAAAAAATTATTTTCTTGGAAAATAAAGAATTATAGTAACACATCTTTTCTTAGACCTTCGAATAAGCTCTGATTATTTTTATTTAATTTTTTAATTTACTATACTAAGCATTAAAAGCTAATAATTATTAATTCTATGACCACACTTGGATTAATATCAAATTAAAAAATTTATATTTCCAATTTTATAATGTTACATTGGGCGTTCATATAAGTTTAAGTAAAATTTGTTGCTATTTGCATTTTCTTATTGGATACATGGAATTACTACTACTGGTATTTTCATTTAAACGAACAATATATAATTATCATCTTAAATGACTGTTTATAGTTCAAAGAT